ATTATCGTGGTATTGAACTTATGAGTAGTACAATGAATCGTTGGGGAGAAATGCCATGTATCACCGATTTTTTGTCACCATTTTGTATCACAGTCTACATGCCTACTCAAGATTGGCTACCTTGTTTGAAAATAATTAAGTAATTAATGAAGGCAAATGATTTCTTGCCACATACGCTGGTGATATAGAAGGATGAAAACAAAATGGCAATGTATAGCAGCCCCCATCTTTGGGAGAGAGTAAATTAGCATAGATTAAGTGGACATTCAAATTATGGTCTTCTTAGCTCTTGGGGTTCATCAACCGTATCCTCACGATCCAATCCGCTCAAAATTTGTCTCACTTACAGATGCAAGATGGTAGAAAAATGGTAACTTTTCCAGACATTGCCTATGTTACACCTATTGAAAAAGGCCATGCATTTGGCTTTGCCTTGATTCCTTAATAAGTTATTGTTTGGAAGCCATTTAGCATATGCTTTCATGGACAACATATATTGAGAGATTGGTAATATTGTTAAGTCATTCTAACATGTTATAACAAAAAATTCTGGCAATTTAGTGAATAGAAACTAGTTTGGTGTTGATTTAGATAATTGACATTGCTACTGCCATAAATTCATGCTAATGTTGCGCTGTAATGAAATTATTAGTTTTATCAAATTCTTCTTATCGTTGCCTAGAGAATTCAGGATTCCTTATTTGGGAGGAGACTGGAATGTAGTTATTTGGGAGGAGACTGGAATGTAGTTTATTAATCTTGCTGCTTGTATTAATGTGAAATGATGCTGCATAAGATTGGGATGATATGATGAACTGTACACTGGCTATAATTTAATCTATGTGGCGTAGTGATGAAATGAGCACTTGTATCTCTTGTTGCAGTCTTGCAGTTACCTTAAAGTTTTCCATTACCATTGGCAAACTAGCATATCTTACATTTATCCATCTAGATGTGGTTTAAGTACACTGTTGTCAAAGATACATGAAGTTAGATTTGAGTTATCACTTTACACCTTGCCCATGTTTGTGCAGATACAATTAAGAAAGTGCGGTTGGCTGAATAATCCTCCTTTAGTATGTGCTCATGGTGGTGACTCCACCAAGGCCTTTCCCAACACAGTATGCATTCTTTGTTCTTTTGATTATCTAGTTTAGAAGTTACCTTTTTGTATGGGTTATAATTTACCAAGGGTCAACTATACTTACTTAACGTTTTATTGTTTCTTTCCAAATTTAAGTTGGATTACACTAGATGGTATAAAGCTTAGCCAACTTGACTTGTGTTTTAGGCACCACATATCAATTCCAACCGTTGTAGGATTTGACAATATTTTATTAGGTTCTGGTGTTCATACTGATATTTCAAATATTTCTAAACTGTAAATTGGATTAGTAGATTATTATTTAAGCATGTCAAAAAGGTTTTAGTTCATCTTTTGGCTGACCTTTCTTGTTAGGTTGATATCTACTGTAGATAAAAATAGATAATTGAGATTGTTCATTAAATTCTGACTTATTTGTTGTAATGAAGTTTGTTCAGTAGCACCTAATACAGCACTTCAACTGAATAGAGTTGTTGAACTTTGGTTCAATCATCTTTACACTAGACACTGTAGGTAGCACAGGTTTGAAGCCATGTAGATATCAGTATGTGTCATAAAGTACTGTTGGAGGATGAAGGATGCCCTTAAAACTATGGAACAAAGGTATTCTTTCAATATATTGTTTCTATCACTTTGTTTTTGCTCTTTTTCTTTTTTTGGGTGTTGAATTGAAATTTCTGCTTGTTCCATGATAAGTTGACTCTTTATCATGTATTGGTTGCCTCAAGTTTGAGCTTGTCATATGTAGACTATTGGAAGGGCTTTAATACAGCGTTGTTTCAGGAGCTGGGTTTCTAGCTTCCTGTGGAGTATATAGGAGTTATTTATATAGTTATTTATGTTTTTGCAGAGCACTGCTTTGATATGGAGTTTGATTTTTGTATCTGCATCTTCGTTTGAAGTTGTGTATGTGAGATTCCATGCAGTATCCATGGAAAGAAATTGGAAAAATGGTATTTTGCATGCATTATATGCAAAAGGATGTGTGTCTTTTGTTAAGAGACAAGCAGCTCATTTTCGGCCCTTAGCCTTTCTCAGGAAGTACGTACTTGTGAAGAGTTCTTGCTTTTATTTTTATTTCGTGTGGGATGAATTGGAACCAAGGTGCAAACTTGGGAAGTATAAAAACCATGTATTCTGTATACATCCAGGGCAAAAGTGCTGACACCACTGGGGGTGTGAAATGAAACCAAGAGTTGTACAAAATGCACAAAGGCGCCCAACTTTTACGAAAGTCAATTGTGACAAGCAACAACAATATCAACAACAAAGTTAAAAAGTTTACAGAGAGCATTCTCTTCCTCGTTCTTCTTGCCTTCGAAAATATTTCTGTGTTTCTCCTATTCCAAATTTTCCTAATAATTTCTGAACATAACCTTTTCACTTGAGGCATCCCTTCAAACCCCATTCTTGGCAGCCTTAACTACTCCCCCAATAGAGAGGTATCCAATTAACCTGCATAAAGTGGCCCCCTCCTTTTCCCTTCCTCTTTATCCCCAAAGCAAACAATGAAAATAAGGAAAATTGAGAATGCACCTTGATCCATGAAATGGTTCCTGCAAGAAATTAATTTCTGGATGTCAAACAAACTTTGTTGATGGGTCTCTATCGGGTTAATTGTAAATGATGTTGGATTTAAGTTGACCATGTATTTTTAGTGTATATGAAATCAAACCCCAAATGGACCCCTCACTTTTGATGTTGTCTCAGCACTTACACCACCATACCACTGTAAGAATTCTGAAGAATTTCTGTATATTCAATTGTGTAATACAAAGAGTACAACCGTGTTATATAGATCTAATCTAAAAAAGGAAATAAGAATAAACTTATATATTCTTACAATCAATCTAATATATTTACATAATTAGCATAATATTCTCACACCCCCGCTCAAACTCAAGGTGTTTTAGCAGAAAACATTGAGAGTTTGCCAAGAAGGAACTGAAAATGAGCAGTGGTGTGAGTCTTGGTAAAGAAGTCGGCAAGTTGAAGTGCCGAAGAGATGAAAGGAAGTGAAATGGAGCTAGACTGCAGATGCTGACAAACAAAATGACAATCATTCTCAATGTGTTTCGTCCACTCATGGAAGACAATGTTATTGGCAATTTGAATGGCACTGTGATTGTCACAGTAAAGAGAGGTCGAAGAAGACTGAGAGACAGCCAAATCAGATAAGAGACAACGAAGCCAAACAATCTCAGTAGTGGCATGAGCCATAGCACGGTACTCAGCCTCGGTAGTAGAACGTGCAACAATAGTTTGTTTTTTGCTCTTCTAAGAAATCAAGGAATTACCAAGAAATATGCAGAAGCCAGAAGTAGACTTGTAATCAGTAACATCACCAGCCCAATCAGAATCAGCATAGGCCACCAAGTCCACAGGGGAAGTGGTAGACAACAGTAAGTTTTGAAATATAGTACTCTGGAGATAGCGAATAATGCAAACCAAAGCGGTCCAATATGGAGAACGAGGGGCAGAAACGAACTGGCTAACCACATGAACAGCATAGGCAAGATCAGGGCGAGTGACAGTTAGATAGACTAAGCAATTCACGAGCTCTCGATATAAAGTGGGTGTTTGGAAAGTGGGTTTTTTTGTAGGTTTTTTAGTTGTAGGATTTTATTGGAGAGATTTTTTTTTGTGTTTGGGAAGATAGTTGGGTTTTTTTGTGGTTGGATGTGATGTTTGTGAGAGAAAAGTGAAATGATTATGGGGTTTGATGTGATATTTTGTTTGGATTAGTTTTTTTTTGGTTTTGTAACCAATTTGTCTTTTAGTGGAAAAAAAAACCAAAAAACTTCCTTTCCAAACACCCCCAAAGTAGGATCATCCAGAGAAAACCATCAGTAGTTTTAAGCTTCACGTTAAGCTCCACGTTAAGCTCAATGGGGGTATCAGAAATCTTAGTGTTAGTAAGACCGGCACGGTGAATAACCTTATTTGCGTACTTAGCCTAAGACAAAAAGTAGCCTTTAGGAGAAGAAGCTACCTCAATACTAAGAAAATACCCGCAAGGGGCCCAGATCCTTCATTTCAAAGGTGCAGAAGAGATGTTGCTTAACCTCAGAGATAGCAGAAGAGTTAGAGCCAATGATGATCATATCATCCACATACAGTAATAGGGCAACCAAACCAGTAGAGATGTGAAGGAGAAACAAAACAGAATCCTGACCACAAGGATGAAAGCTAAGCTGAGTGATAGCGGCCTGAAAGCGAACATACCAAGCACGAGGGAATTGCTTCAAACCATACAGAGCACGCTGAAGACGACAAACCTGTCTAGACGAATGGGGAAGGCCAGGGGGGAGACACATGTAAACCTTCTTAGTGAAATGGCCATTAAGAAAAGTGTTCTTAACATCCATCTGATAGAGGCCAATGACGAACAATAGCAGTAAAAATTAAAGTACGAGCAGTAGTCATCTTGGTAACAGGGGTAAGGGTTTCCTTATATCAATACCATACTCCTATGAGAAACCTTTGGCAACCAGGCGAACTTTGTAGTGCTCAAGAGAACCATTAAAGTGAGTCTTGATTTTATAGATCCATTTGCAACTAACTAGATTTTTGTGAGCAGGCAACGAAATTAGCTCCCAAGTAGTAGTCTTCTGCAAAGCAGACAACTCATCCTCCATAGCTCGAACCCATTAGGATCCTGATAGGCCTCCATGTAAGACTGGGATTCTGAAAAAGAATGAATAGCAGACAAAAAGGTGCAGTATGAAGGAGAAAAACATGTTTTAGCAAAACCCAGTTTGACTGCCTGTTTACGGATGCGAAGAGGATACTTACGGTTAGCAAGATTAGTGTCATCAAAAGCAGGGGGATCAGCAGCAGGGGTAGAGACAACTGGTGGAGGGATGAGAATAGACTAACAACGGGGGAGGAGAATGAGCAGGTGGGGGAGGAGGAGGAGAAGACGACATAGACTTATGAGGGTCAAGGGACAGGGACTCATTAGGTAGGGTGAGACAAGGAGAAGAGAGAATAAGCTCATGGGGAACAACAAAAATGTACTCATCAAGAGGGACCTCAGAAGGAAATGAATCAATATAAACCAAACCCTCTTTGGAAATTGGGGCTGTGAAAGGAAGAAGCTGAAAGTAAGGGAGACGTTCAAGAAATGCAATATGGCGGGAGACATATAGGCGATGGGAAACAGGGTCATAACATGGATAACCTTTCTGAGTGAGATTGTAACCCAAAAAGACACATAAGACAGATCGGGTACTTAGTTTGGTCCAATCTTTACAGGCTAAAAGGACAAAACAAGCAGACCCAAACACACGAAGGACGGAGTAATATGGAAGTTGAGAAAACAGAGCCTTATAAGGAGACCAACCAGAGAGAAGGGGAGTATGTATACGGTTGAGAAGAAAACCAGCAGTAAGAATTATCTCATCCCAAAACGGAGCTAGAACATAGGTAGAGAGAAGGAGAGTCCTAGCTGTCTCAAGGAGATGACAATGTTTACGCTCAGCGCGACCATTTTGGGAAGGTGTATCAGTACAGGAAGTTTGGTGAAGGTACTCAAATTGGCCAAATACTCACAGAACTCAGTTTTAAAATATTTCCCACCCAAGTCAGACCGTAACAATTTAATAGTAGACCCAAGCTATGTAGTGGCCATAGATTGAAAAGTACAATATATCTGGTAGAAACTTATGAGTCATAAGATAAACCCAAATGTAACGAGTGCAGTCATCAACAAATGACACATAACATGCAGAATCCCCATTGGTGAGAACAGGAGAAGTACCTAGACATCAGTATAAACTAAAGAAAACGGTGTATCAGATATAGAAGTACTTTTACGGAAAGGTAAGGCTGTCATTTTGGCAAGTTTACACCCTAACACTCAGTAAGTTGACTAGGAGAAATTTTACGCACTATACCTGACTGAGCTAAAGACCGTAGGCAGTTAGCATACAAATGCCCTAATCTGGAATGCCACAAATAGAAAGGACTTGATAGAGAATCTAACTGAAAAGAGGAAAAGACAATCGGAGAGGCAGATGCAAGCTCTCCACCACATAGAGGTCTCTAACTCTACGGCCGGTCCCAATCTGCTGCTTGGACATCCGATCCTGCACAGACCAAATAGAAGAAGAAAAAATAACATAAAAACCGAAGACATCAAGCTGACTGATATATAATAAATTGATAGATAACTGAGGAACATAAATGACCGACAGAATAGAGATAGCAGACATAGTAGACGGTAAGACAGACCCAACTGATATAACAAACATACTAGACCCATTAGCAACATTAACAGTAATAAGAAAGAGAGGGGGAATACAATTTTGAAGTAAGAAGAGATGAGGAGTCTTATGATGAGAAGAACCAGAGTCAAAAATCCAGACAGACGAAGAGATACTTGAAGAAGACCCAAGTAAACCTAAATAAAGAGAGGAAACAACCGAAGCAGACGAGGAGGGTTAAGAGGTAGACAGTATATACTGAAGTTGACTAATCTGAGCCCTCAAGGAAGCCAAGTCAGGAGCAGGAGTCGGAGCAGATGTAGTGGAATTGATAGAGGGACGAAAAGTACTCAGAGGAGGTTCTTGAGATTGGGTTTGAGACAGCTGAGAAGACGTGGCAGGCAGACATCCCTTCTTGGGACAGTGATACTTCCAATGGCCCTTCTGATGGAAGAAAGTACACTTAACTGAAGCCAGAGATATCATAATAACTTGAAAGCTAAGGGGTTCAAGTGTAATAAACTCTATATAGAACAAAATAGCCAAACCAAGGGTAATAACCAGTGTAAAACAAAAATCTGATAGGGCAAAACAAAATAAATCCAACATCACAGTGTAATAACCAGAAGAGTGTTGGGTTTCAACGTAAAATATAATAACTAGTTGGGGTCAAAATATAATAATTAGATTTTCGTGAAGTCGAAGGAAGCAGTCTGAAGTCGAGAGAACCAAATTAGAGAAGAGAGAGAGAGATTGAAGCCAAGAGAACTTGAAGCCGAAGTCGTGTTTGATGGAGGTTGCATCTGAAGGTCACAAACCAGAGGAGTTGCGTACTAGATGAGTTGCATTTCCAACCCTAAATGGTTGCGATTCCGGTGATAACAGATCTGGTACAATCGAGACTCTGGTGACTGAACCAGGGAGAGAACTCGGACGAAGGTCATGCAAGAGCCAAGAGAACTTTGATCAATCAGAGAACTTCGAGCTTCGTGAACACGACCAGAGAGAGAGAGAGAACTTTGAGAATACCAATCATGATTTTGGTGGTCTATGACTTGCGACTCAGAGGGATAAAACCAGAGGGCTGATTTCTGAGAGACGATCGCGATGAAGAAGAGCACCTATGATCACGACTCAATGAGATTTTGATGAAGACGACACAGAGACAATTTCTAGGGTTTCGGCTCAGAGACAACTCTGATACAATGTAAGAATTTTGAAGAATTTTTGTATATTCAATTGTGTAATGCAAAGAGTAGAACCGAGTTATATAGACCTAATCTAAAAAAAGAAATAAGAATAAACCTATATTTTCTTACAATCAATCTAATATATTTACATAATTAGCATAATATTCTCACAACCACAATGGCTTTGGCAGGAAAAGGTCCTTTTCTGCATTTTATTATTTTTTGTCTTATCCATTTGATGCCTTGCACTAGATTGAAGTGGGGTTACCTTTTGGGTTTTGTGGTGGAAGTTCTCTGAGTCTACTTAATGGTTTTGACCATAACATGGTTCTTTAATCTTTGATGACTCTTCTTTGTCATTATGAAACTAGGAACCCTCATAGGAAAATGAGGATTCATGCTTATGTTTCTTATCTGTACTCAGCCAGGTTGTGTTGGATTGGAGACAAACTGAGTTCAGTCATAAGGCTTGGTGATGGAGAACTTGCATGCTGTAAATTGGCATGGAAATTTTTATTTATTTTGCCCTATATTTATTTTCTAGGGGTAAATACACCAATGGCCAACAAGAAATAAGTCAATGTAATAAATAAATGATACATTGGAATAAGCAAATGATGGATCAATATGAACAAATGACGAAGCTAATATGTCAAATACAAGCAACTTTGGATAAATTGTTCCCTCATGTTTTAGAGGATAATTTAGGAATTCCTCAAGATTATAATCCAGTGGAAATACTTTATCCAAATGTTCCCAAGCACGTGAAAGGTAATGCGGATTTGACAAACTTCAAAAGAGTTCGTTGCAGTGCAAGAAAATCTTCACGTAGAAAGTGGTTTTGCCGAAGAAGAGCGTCCTATTGACCCACTACCAAATTCAATCAAAAGTTAGGAAGTGTTGATTTTGTTGGAGTTGAAGATTTTCTTTACGCGATCAATCTATAAGTCTATTAGACCTTGTCAATACCTTGAGAATTGAGATAAGTTGGCTTAGGAAAAAAAATAAAAGTAAAGAAGCTAGCCTATTCAAAGTACTTGATTTGTTGGCATGGTCTAGTTCAATATTTCAAAGCAAACTTGAGGTCGAGTTCTTTTCTCAATCAGAAAGAATGATGAGGAACATGGAACCTCTAAGTTGGCATGAAGATTTTATTTATTTTGTGAATTTATGTTTTAATAATTTTGTTTATTTATTTTTATTTATAATTTAATTAGGATCTTTGTGATCTTAATTTTCTTATTTCATTGGGGATTAAGTTTTCTAATAATATTATGATTTAGTCTCTTATTTTGAATTAGGGTTTCTAGCCTATAAATATTAGGTCTTTGCATTGTGATATTTAGCTTTGGAATAATATTGAATGTTTAAGGTTGTGGCCGTTGTGTGTAGGCTATGAAGCATGGATACTTCTAAAAGGGAGTTGTATCTGAAGCTTGGGTAACCAGCTTAGGGTATGATGAGATATCACCCCTTATTTATAAATGAAGATTTAGGGTTTACAAAGAAGACAATTACAAGATAATCCCTGAGTGCGTAAAAATGATTACAGATCCTAGAGACTTTCGGCTAATATAATATGCTAAGTGCCTTTCGGTGATTATAATATGTCAACACGTTTCACTATTTTCAAGGACCAGTTTAATATCTATCATGATATGAAAATAGTACTAGTTTATTCAACGAAAGATCTGATCTATCCCCAAGAATACCTAGTAGAAAGCATAAAAGATAGCCACGTGACATTTTCCACAGAAGTATATCGGGACAGGTGAATTAAAATGCTTTATGCTTCCAGTGTTGATTGGTCAGTACCCAGCGCACATGCATGAAAAAAGATAGTCACAAACTTGGTCAGGTTTCACAGCATGAATGTTCGGTGCAGAAATTGCAATTACCTACCATTAAAGTGAGGCAAAATGAATCTCAAAGAAGCTAATAGATCAATGAGAAGGTTCGCCAACAAAGACCGACAACTGTACGAGTGCAAAGTAATATGGTCGAACTAACAAGAACAGGTGATAACTGAAACCATATGTGGTATGATATGAAGCTATAAGGGAATATGTGGCCTTAGATAAATGGAATTGAAAGCGCAAAATTGAGCATACCATGTAAGTCAAAATTTGATGACATACAAGCACTTGAACGTGCATGCTTTCTTAATTACCTCTTTTCCATCCAAGCTAATGTACCTAGTCTTCCTTGTTCATCCGAATATGTGGGCTCAGTTACCCGGACCAGACATGATGAATTTTGAATTTTGACAGAGGATGTGTCTCTAGATGAAAAAAATTCATGAAAAGAGATTCTTGTGACTCAATAGGAAATTGTTAACTTCACCAGGGTCATAAAATAGTATGCTCAGTGCTTTTTCTTTTTCCTCAAGTCTTGAATGTAAGATTTGAATCTCAAAGAATAATATGTTATAGTTCAAATACTGTGAAAATTTAGTAGTCATATGGTGTCTCTGCCTTTCTCGGCTTCAAGCTTTGGTTTCCTCTTAATATATAGATACACATATTATGTACATATAACTCAACCCAGTCTTATGCCAATGATGATGAGTATATAAAGTGCCATTACCCCATCAAATTTTGTGGTTCTTGAATTGTGCCTCATTGCGCTTGGCTTTGTTTATGACTTAGTGAAACTGAGTATATATAAATATGGTCATGCAATGTACACACCTCAAAAGAGTGTATACCATGCGCAAGTTACGACATTCGTGGTGGTGATTACCACAAATGTCATAATCTATGAAGCATGGGTACTCAAAAAATGTTGCTGTATAAGTACCGGGTACTTACCGAGTGCGGGTACGCGTACCAATACGGCTACACGCGTACTGGGTACGGCACAAACGCACCGGGTACGTTTTATACAATCAATATAATCTTGGTACACAATGGGTACGTGATAGGTATGTTTTTGGGTATGCCGGGGTAAAAAATGGAATTTTCTGTAATTTTAAGGATACCAGAGCAATTTTTTGGTCCATTTGAAAAAAAAATTAAATAAATTTGGGGTTCTTTTGCAATAATTAAAACATGAAACAAATTGAAATTACGGTTACTTGTTCTATTCAATTATCTCCTTCCTTCAAAGAAATACAGTCAGACGGAGGAGGCAGGCTGAGGCTATCTCGAGGAGTAGACAGTAATGCGGAACGGTCAGTAGAGACAGGGGACATCATAGCTGACCGACGACTTTCCTCATTTTGTACATAGGCAAATGCCTCCTGAAGTGAAGGAAGAGTATCCATACTCAGAACTCGACCCCTAACTGGATCATACTCCATATTTAGGCCGGCCAAAAATTTAAAGACCCGTTCCCGTGCGATGAACTTTTTGTACCCGATAGAATCAGTAGGGCAAACGGGCTTATAGTCTTCCAGGTGGTCAAGGCGTTTCCAGCCGTTGGTGAGGAAAGTGAAGTACTGAAGAACAGTCTGCTCCCCCTGAAGTGTGCTCTCAATAGAGCGACGCAACTCAAATGCCTGTGAAAAATTTCCTTTGCGGGAATAGGTAACAGCCACAGCCTCCCAAATGTCCTGGGCAGTCTCCATAGACAAGTAGCCCTCACCAAGTTCTGGAACCATCGAATGGATAAGCCAACTCATAATCAAAGAGTTGTTAATCTCCCATTGGTCATAACCTGAGTCAGTGGTACTAGGTGCCTGTATCCTGCCATCAACATACCCCATCTTCCCTCTGCTCTTTAAAAACAAAGTCAAACTTTGAGACCATGCTAGGTAGTTCTGACCATTAAATAGAGAGGTGGTGATTTTCAGACTAGGGTTGGGGTTCTCAATCATGGTAGTAGGTAGAATGAGACTCTCACTTTTTGGTGTTTGAGACGAAGAGGACACACTAGTGGAATCTGTCATGGATACAATACTAGATCAGAGGACGACGAGGACGAGGGCGAGGACGACAAGGACGAGGGCTGAGACGAGTGACGAACTGCGGGAGAAGATCGACGAGCGACGAACTGCGATGAAGATCGACGAACTGCGATTGATGAAGACGAGCGACGAACTGCGGGATGAACTGCGATTGATGAGCGACGAATTGCGGGATGATGATGATGGCAGAGACGAAGACGAAGCGGAATGATGATGATGGCAGAAGATCGATTCAGCAGATGATCCAACTAGGTATGCTTTGAACCCTAGCCCTGGAGGTGATGCTCTGATACCATGAAGCTTGGGTAACCAGCTTAGGGTATGATGAGATATCACCCCTTATTTATAAATGAAGATTTAGGGTTTACAAAGAAGACAATTACAAGATGATCCCTGAGTGCGTAAAAATGATTACAGATCTTAGAGACTTTCGGCTAATATAATATGCTAAGTGCCTTTCGGTGATTATAATATGTCAACAGTATCTATATCGTATTCATATTGAATATCGATACTCCTTCGATATACTCATGAATATCTTGATATTAATTTTGTTTAATTTTGAGAAGTAGCAGATATTTTTGGGATACTCTAGGTCACGTGTCCAAAATATTTTGAAATTGAGATTGCAATAATTTTTGCATAACATTATAGAAGAAGAAACTAGTGAAATTATTGTTTGGTTTTTCAATTTTCAAGTTGTCAATTCATATTTTTTTGTTTTTAGTTAATTTTTTAATAAGTTTTTTTTACCTTTCAGATCCACTTAATCTTGATACACTTAAAAAGTATAAATTTTGTGAAAAAATTCACTAAATACAAAAAAATATAAAAATTTAGTATATATATTGTATTTATTGAATTCCTTTAGATTTATTCACAAATATTTTACTTTTTAAGTACATTTAGATTAGGTGCATCTAGAAAATAAAAAAAAAACAATTGACTAAAATATGAAAGAAGTTCACTAAAGACAACAAAACACGAAAAAAAAAAAAAAACTATTTTTGAAAGCTCAAAACCAAACAGAGTAGTATCTTACTTTTTCAAAACTTATTAAATTGATTTATCCTTATAAATGTGTCACATATGTATTTCATATCCTTTCATATTACTTTTTCAAAATTTATTGAATTGATGTATCCTTATAAATGTGTCATATTATATGTATTTCATATCCTTATATATTACATTTTGGAAAAGTAAGATAAATTAGAAAATATGATTAGTTAAACAAGCAAGTAAACTTGCATACAACACTTTTGCATATAACACATCTAAGTATGAGAGAGGAAAATATAACGGTAAGAAAAACAATTTAAACTTTTTATTAAAATGAAAATTTCAAAGGGCTTATAAAATAAGTAATGGTTGGCCATTGGCTCTTAAACTAATACCTAATTTTTAATTTCTAGATAATGATCAATTATTTTTTGTTGACCTTTTGTATAATAGAATACTAAAAATTATAAAATTATTTTTTTCATAGAAATATCTTGACCGTACATCCTATTTTTTTTTAAAGTTTTGTCGTATCGTTGTATCTGTATCCGTATCCCGACCTGTATCTTGTATCATACCCGTATCCGTATCTGTATCCATGTTTCGTAGTGTGTAGGGCTATGGTCCTTGCTCTTCTCTCTCTTTTTTCCTCTTCTCTTTTCGTGTAGTGCTCTTCATCACTTGGAGTGCTTGCAGATGTGTTGGGCTTGCAGTTCTTACCGAAGTCTTTGGGTTAGGTCAAGTTGTTTGGATTTGGGCATAATTATGATTTTTGTCTATAGCACTGGTGTTTTACCTTTTTTCCTCTCTCTCTTGCTTGTTACATGGTCATTAATAAAATACTTCTCGAGTATGTTTTGTAGTATAGGATACCAAGGATAGGGGTTGCAGCAGTTGTAAAATAGTAGTAGAAAGTTATCTTGCAACTATCAAATTAATATATATGATAATGTAATCAATGAGATTGAGTGAGAAGCATGAAACCTATTAGAGTCATAGCTACTTATTGTAATTTTAAATAATCTTGTTCCTTACGAATTTTTTTTTTTTTTTTTGGTGATTCCTGTCTGGTTTGTCATCAATGAGCATTATATATATATATATATATTTATCTAACACATAAATATTCTTTTTCATATAAAACATGTTTAAAAATATTACATAGGGATGATAGAGAGATTGAGTTGGACTGTCTTAGGCCCCATCTGATGTGCGATGGACTCTTGGTTTTGTTGGAATTTTCAGACCAAAGCCCCATGCAGGTTTCAAAATTGTATCCTAATCTTGCCTATTGGTTGGGTTTGGCTCTTGTTCAGCTTGCACAGTTGTTGCTAGGATGATGAATCTTATGCATTCATTATTTGAATGGGAGAGAAGTAGAAACTTGATTCATTAATAGAACTTCGTTAAGTTGAAAATTCATTAGGCTGTACTATGTAGTCCTGTAATATTGAGTATTCTTTGACATTCTTAAATGAGTGAAGTCTGCAGCTTCTAATCAAGTCGAGTCTGTTACTACCTAAAGGATCTAATTTAATAATTTTACGTTGGCATACTCTGTTTAAGAGTTTGAGCTCAAATTTTCCATTTTTTCCAACAGATGGCTGCATACCATACTGCTCTCCATTCACGAGTAGACTGCATTGAGATTGATGTTTCTCGTTCTTCAGATGGAATTTTGTTCGCTCTTCATGACAGGTATATGTATGCTCTCATCTGTCTACAGAAGGTTTAAACAATGCCTGCATCCTAATTTTGATTTATACCATGAACAACCTTTTTTTTCCTTGATAAATAAGAAGGCAATATTATTAATGAACAAGCATCAAGCTGATGTGAAAGAATACAGAGGAACAACCATCATTGATTTATAAATTAAATTCATGATGAGCTCTCCATGATTATACTTTTCTGTAATACACTTCCCATATTATTTCAATTTTTATTGCTGTTGCACCCCCCGTGCGCCCCCCCCCCCCCCCCTTTTTTTTTTCTTTTTTTTTTCCCTTCCACAATAAAAAGTAAATTTATAAATGAAAATCTTTAATTATTTCTGCAACACTTCAGTTTATGATATGACTTTTTCCTTGTAGTAGCATGCATGAATGCCAAGATGTTGAAATCTGATTTTAGTCTCTAAGTTGTTTGACTAACAATGTTGTGCATTTGTTGAACTAAGTGGATAAACAAATTATCCTAGTTGTCAATCTTCTAGTCTAGCTTCGTAGGATATCCAGTCATGATGATATTGTGCCGAAACCTTAAGCCTTGATGGCAAACTGATGCAAGGCAAACCCCCCATTGAAAAAGTATAATTTCTTCTTAATCGGATTAGGGTAAAATGGGGAAGGAAATAGATGGGTGAATGTTAATGGAGAATAAATAAAAAAAGGAAGAGGAGTTAGATTGATTCATCCTGCCTTGTATCAAGAAAAGTCCTAGATCTAGAAAAGCCACCCAGGGGCTATTGGGAATCTCAGAAGTGGTTCAGACCAAGTCTCACCTCATTTTATTATCTGGTTTACAGAAAAACCAACTCAGTTAATTTGAAGAAGAATTTGTTTTCTGCCAACTGATTTGAAGTGATTTACCAAACAAAGGCCAACATAAATCTAGTCAGCATTATCCTCAGCTGACGTGATTCTTGAGAATAAGATCAACCTCCTAGTTTCTCATGCAATCACACATAAACAATGTATATAACACATCATTAGTAAAATGGCTTGAAAAGGTCTTTTCATTCAATTCCCTTTCATAAGAAAAACTAATACCCTATACATAGGGCACTTTAGGAGTTCACTTTATATACAAGTCTTGGTGAGAAAAGAAGTCTACTACATGACAAGGAGGTGAGTAGGACCTGCTAATGTGGTTAACTTAAAATTAAGTAAATCTTCTAGATGTTGACTAAAATCACTAAAATACTGACGAAAACTCATAAAATTCATTATGCATTCTGGTTTAAATTTAGCAACAATATTGTTTTTAAATTTTTTTAACATTTTGACGAAATCAAGCTCTTTGTGCTCCACCTTCAAATTAAACCTGTTTTCCAGATTCTTTATCCTTCAGTATATATATATACCTTATCTTCTTTCTCCTCTCTTATAGCCTGCATAGGAAGACTTGTCTGAATGTGATGTGAACCAATTTTTAAGGGTTGTTATTCCTTATCTGATTCCTACTTATAAAAAAAAAGTTATTCCTTATTCGATTCCTATGCGGATGAAATACATAGTAAAACGTGTAAACTTGTCTTTTATATTGGCCTTTAGAATTTGTAGGTTTTTGGAAAACATATCAGGAAATTTTTAAAAGAAGAAAGTAATTCTTGAGCATTTATCTTGTTGGAAAGAGTTTAAGAGTTTGAGTTATGTGCGATAAGTCTATTTACACGTCTGGCTGTTCAACAATCTGACTAAACTGTCTGAACCGAGAACATTTTGGATGGTTTGGCTGAAAGGAACGGTCGGCTGCGGTTTAAAAATGCACCAGATCTCGGTTATACGGTTGGACATCAAGTTTGGAGAAGAGGAACTGCTCAAAACCGATCCGACCGATTTTTATATTAAAATACTTTAACTTTGCACATATCTCCATATTATGTACTATAGCTGTCTATGTTGTCACTTCTTTTTTTTTTTTTTTTCAGAAGTTTACCTTTTGTCTGCCACTATTCAAATCTTTTCACATATCTCCATATTATTTACCGTAGTACACTTGTCATGTCTATGACATTTTTTTTATTTAAAAAATTCACCCTTATCCCTTTTTCATCCACTGTTCCTTTCATCTTCCCAACGATATGATGGTAAAACCAATGTTAGAAACCCTATTCATCTTCTCTCTTCCTCTTCAAGCATCTTTAAGTCCCATCTTTCCAACAATACGATAATGAAACCAATGTTACAAACCCATTCCAGTGTTTTTTAAAGGCTCAAGGCGCACCAAGACATTGAAGGTCTCTTGGGGCCTAGGCGCAAGGCGACGTGTGGGCTTTATTGAAGTGAGGCGCACGGTCTTAGTAAAAAAATAGATAAATTAACATAGACTAATGATTCTTAATGCAATGTGTGATGTCATGAATTAATTATTTGTATTTTTTTTTCTAGCAGAGACTCAAAACAAAGACAATGACATAATTGCAAAAAAAAAAAAAAAAACAAACAAACAGAGTATAAGAAGAAGGAAAAGAAGACATTTGCTTGCTTATACAAACTGTTGCTATTCTTATTTTTGCATTATTCCATGTGTGAAGCAAAAAAAGAAAACAGAGAAGGAAAAAAAAAAAAGGGACAGGAAAAAAAACCTAGCCTAGCAACAGACAACAAAGAAGAAGAAGAAGAAGAAGAAGAAGAAGAAGAACTCTACCCAGCAAAAAAGAGAGAGAGAGAGAGAGAGAGAGAGAGAGAGAGAGAGAGAGAGAGACACACACACACACACACAAGTTTTCGAGCAAATACGAGTGGAGATTAGGGCATTTCGATCGATTTGGGGCTGGGTACTCTTCTATATAGCTTAGAGTTGTAATCCTCTGTAATTCGAGCTTTTAAAAGCACTATTTGAGCCGTTAGATTCATTCAGAGATCCAAAAATAAAAGTCACACCTAGGTATGCGACTTGCGCATTTTCTCACCTCGACAAGTCGCGCATAAGGCACACGCCTCTTTCAAGTCGCCTCGCCTTGGGTACCTGCGGACACAACTGTTGCGCCTCGCTACGCCTAGCGCCTAGGCGTCCCTTTCACTGTAACGCCCCAATTTTCAAGCCCAAATGATAATACAACAATCATGGCTCTTTAAAGGAAAAACCAATTATACATTCCCACACTTGCATTACATGATATAAATAATCCTCATGCGATTATATATTTAATCCAACAACAGTTAAATAAACAAATAAATACCCCCAAGGGTTTACAAGATTTCAAGGTTTAAGCCCGGTTACATGAAACGGTTATTCAAACCCACACAAATATAGCCCTTGGCTTACAATGAGAGTCACAGCAACATGAGAGCATTATGCTCCCAACACACATTTCCACGCCCTTAATTTGGCGGAATCACCACGTATTTTCTTGCACAAAAATCCCGTAGGGTGAGTATAAAGCCCAGTAGGAAATTCTAAACAAAGTATATACATTTTATACAAGTCTCAAGAGGTGAATGCACATGTCATGCTATGTTCTTTTGAAAGTAAAACACATCTTCATCTTTTGAAAACCACATGCTCAATGATGCTATGCAACTTCAATTGCTTAAAATTTATCAATTTAATTTAAGGGGCGATAAATACAATTCTGGTAATCTCTAGGTACGTATCTGCAAGTAGACTACACAAGTACTACCCATTTGTCATTTTTACCAGTATTAACCGGAAGGCTCGACATCTATCCACGCGGATTTTTTGGTCTTTCACCTCGGACATTCAGGCTAACTTATCAATTTCATCTACACTACCTTTCAAGACTTACCACTGTATTTATCCCAAAAACATTTCATGAAAACTCGTTTCCCAACATTCTTTTCTCCATGCAAGGTTTTCAAATCAACGTTCAAACCTCGACATAATCAAATGAATTGATATGCCCATGCGATGATTAAATGCAATACAACATTTCTTCCATTTTCAATCATTCCACACAATAATTCCATTGTGAACAAATCTCCCATTTCTCTTTCAAAACAATAATATCACAAGATGAATATATATAAACTTTGATTTCCAATTCATCCAAGAAATAACATAATTTTCACATTTAGAGCATTCTCAATAATTTAGGGTTGGTTTGGGATGTTCTAAAAAAGTGCACTTTTTGACTTATTGGCTTATATGGGTTGGGTTTGGGTTGGGTTTGATGTGATGTGTTAGAGAGGTGATGTGATTTAAATAAGATGATGTGACTTAAATAGGATAGTGACTTTTTGTATTATTTAGTAGATGCCAAACTTGGCCTTAGTCATTTCAAGACTACAATAACATTTTGAACAACTTCCAAAATCAATTTCTTCATATTTCATGAAACCCATCATTTGTATAAATATAAATCAAGCTTTTCCAAAACATTCCTCCATTTTGACATCCAACGAAATATGGCTATTTTATCTTATGAAATCTCAACATCTTTTAAAAACTCAAACTTCAAGGTTTTCTCACCAAAACCAACCATCTCCAAGAAATTTTGAAGAAATCTCCCCAAAATCAATTTTCATCAATCATTATAGTTCAAAACCCTCAATTTCTATTTTGAGAAGGAAAAGAAAGTAAACCCACTTTCAATATCACTCATCTTCTTGAATCAAAAATTAATTTATCAAAACTAATCAAATGATGATTTCGAAAATCATCTAGATCTTGTAAAAATATATATATAACTCAGAGAACATCCCTACCTCAAGTTTTGAATGAGAAAAGAGGTGAAACCCCAAACCAACGGTGTTGAAACTCGATCTTCACCGTACACAACGAAGCCCTCGAGATGTTAACCAACTTTGATGAAGAAACAATGGTAAAACTCTAATGGATCTTGAGAAATCAATGTGTTTTTATCTAGTTGTGTAGGGAAATTGTAGAGAGAAGGAATGAGGAAATGTTTTTAGAGAGAGAGAGAGATACCACAAGAATGAGACACACTCAGCCCAAAGAGAGAAAAGAAGCCAAAAATTCGGATCTCACCTACTCCCGCATGTGCGGCCCTTACCCCCGCACGTGCGGCACTCCTCCCCCGCACCTCCAGTCGCACCTGCCTTTTTAGCAGCCTGCTTCACCTTCCTCCCTTGTTTCCCGCACGTGCGGGTTGGCCTCCTGCACGTGCGGCCACTCTCCCACACGTGTGGCCCTAGTCCTTGGCCCGGAAGTCCCTTGGTTCAACTCCCGACGCTCCGGACCAACCTCGCACCCTCTGGAACAAATGAAACCAAACATCGGAATCAACAAGAACAAGAATTTTTGAGAAAACTTCCGAACACAACTAACTCGAACAATCAACAAGACTCCAAGTCTAACCGTCACTCTAACAGGGTAAACCGGAAGGTAAACAGAAAGGAACAAAAGACGCACAACGAAACCGGTCATCACATTCACAACATTGACCCATTCATCTTCTCTGTTTCTTTTCGAGCATATCCCTTAAGTCTCTCATGATCGCTTCTATTCTTTGTCTTAAATGTCTCTTCAGCTAAGTGGCAATAGCATTTGATGTTGGCTGATCAAATGTCTAGAGGAGTACTGGCGACGACGAGCAATGTTATTACCAACCATCACCCAATCGGGAGTCTCTCATTTTATTTTCTTCACTCTCATTTCACTCTTCTAGATCTGTGATTTTTTTTCATATCTTCACACAGATTCTCTCTCTCTTATTTTCTTTCACTCTCACTCTTCTAGATCTGTATTTTTTTTTTTCATATCTTCACTCAGATTCTCTCTCTGAAATCCTTAGATCAATATATGTGAAATGACTGTATTTTGACCGTCAATTGAATGAAAGAACGGACAGTTTCGAATAGACTTACGGTCGGCAATGGTTGGTTGGATCTCCAAACTGAATGATTTGGAGTGCCAGTTTCCTCTTTAAACTCGAACTGCCCGACCCATGAACAGCACTAATATTGGCCTTTAGAATTTGTAGGTTTTTGGAAAATATTTCAAGAACTTTTCAAAGAAGAAAGGAATTCTTGACCATTTATCTTGGACAGAACTCAAGAGTTTGAGTTACGTGTGAGAAACCTTCAATTGGAAACTTGTTTTGCAACCCAGACTACAGTACTGTATATTTGAATTGGAGTGTTATTATCCTAAACTGTCTTCATGTATGTTATCATTGAAGTTCTTTGGAGACTTGATTATCACATGACGCAGGCAGGGACTTGCAGCAGATATCAGGGAACAGTACGTCCAAGGTTGGGCACTTGAGTGTGAAAGAGGTAAAATTTTTGATTTACCTATATTGTATACAGACTTCAGTTGTTTCTTGTATCCTGTCATTAGAAATATCTTATGCTTCATGCAATGCTCCATTTATTTGTTTTTCAACCACACTTCATTTAGTCTAGTCATCATTTATTTTAATAATTCCTTTGGATGAAAATTCAAATAGGTAAAATGTCAACCATTCTAACGTAAGGTGCTGAATATGAGGGGTTACGTGGATAAATTAGTTGGAAAAGTGGTCCTTACAAATTACATCTTTATAAGGAGAAGGTTAATGCAAATATCAGAAATAGCGGGCTGAGCGTAGGGAAAAATCTTGGACAAACAAAAACTACTTGTGTTTAAATATAGACTTAAGTGGTGTTAAAACCTATCACCTACTTCACCCACTTAAACCTACTCCACTAAACCTAACCCACTACACCACTACCACCTCCACTTCACCTACTCCTTACCTACTGCACACTCACCCTCTTCTATATATAGGAATCATGAATCATTATAATATATATAACATTAAAAATCAATCAATAATACAATTCTCTATTTCTCTTTATACATCAATTTTAACAAGTGGGCTATATGATCCTGTGGAAACTTGAAGGGGGAAAAAATACAACATAATAATAAAAAAAAAAAAGTATGAAAAGCAATTGATTTTTGTCTCTTCTGTATAATTAACTCGTAGGAATTGTTGATCCATCCCTAGAACAGTTTTTTGGAACCATAGAAACTCTTGACGCTGGAAATATTGTATAGTAGTCATCATGTTGTTGTTCTCTTTAGTTGTATACGTGTGGCATCACGTTGGTAACTTGTTAATAATAATTTATTATCAAAAACATAAAATAAAATGAAAACAAGGGACTTTTACCCATTGCAAGAACCAACGAAACACTTTTAGACTTTGTAGATAACTCTTCACTAGGCAATAACTAAGGATCCCATAGATAACCTGGTCGCGCAAGGGACATATTCTAGTAGATTCAAAGTGCCTTTTATGTCTAATGGCAGCAGATTGTTTGGACATAATGGCAAATTTGGTCTGCTGAGGTAGGCAAAAAAAGCGTTGACTGACTAGCTAGACAAGGGCCTGCATCATCCTACTATTAATAAAATAGTCAGCTCTCAACTCAAAAGCAATTTTTAACATTCAAGTTTATTTTATTTTTTGGTTGTATTTCTCATTTTTCTAGTCCTGTTCTTGATTGGCTCTAGGGAATTTAGTAATATCAGTACTTGGGCTTCATTTTTAGTAGTGGTTGGTTGCTTTATACTCAGATGCATAAAAGCTTGACAAACAATCAGAAATACGTACAGAAAGATTTTATTTAAAACTGTGATACTTCATTATTTGTTATACTATCTAGGTTCCTACATGGTTTCAACTTTATACAAGTCAATTGTGACAATTTATAAAGGACTTTTAGTTCCAGCAATTCCTTTTGCCTTTCAGTATGGGAATGTAACTTTTTTCTTCCAGCTGTGTTCTATCCCGTCAGCTACATTACCTGATCTTAGGGCATTGATACAATACTTGTAACGTAGCATGGCTACCAGAGAATTGTTGAACTTGTAATGGACAAATAAGGGTCCATTTGATGACATTACCAGATTTCGGTTTGTAGAAAATGGGAGAAACATTTTTGTTTTTCTTGTTGGACAAAAGCAAACAAAATATTTGGTACAAAATTGTTTTCAAAACAAATATAATCAAAAACAAGAAAAAGATTAAAGCAATCCAAATGCAAATCAAAGATCAAATTGAGAGAGAGAAGACAAATGCCCCAATTAGGGGTAAAAACCCCAAGGGCTAGAGAGAGAAACCAAGCTCTACTCCAATCACAATGTGTATTCTTTTAATCCAAAACAAAGTAAAATGGTATTGCATCACCTATTATAGATTACGACTAAGCTACAACTAATAGGCCACCTAATCATAAACTTTAGGTATTTATTCTACTACATCAGTACTCCCCCCTCTCTGAAGAAACTTGTCCTCAAGTTTAAGCAGCCACCAAGTAAACTCAATGTAACACTACTCATGTAACCATAAGTGAGGAACAGGTGCTGCGTTTCCTTGCTCAAGAACAAACATGATTCTCACAACTTAGCCATCTGCAAATACAGCGAACTTCATCCTTGCATCCTTGGCTCAACAACCATATGTGTGTCCATAATCTCTCGCAAAAAGTCGGAAAGACCCCCACTTCGAATTCCTTCACCTCTAACCTGCATATGTGCTGAAGTGTACTCATTAGTTCAGAATGAGACCAATGGGCTGGTAAATGACATCTTCCAATGCTAGGCTGAGAAACAGTGACACAATGATAGGATGGATGATGCTTCCACTAGGCAAAACACATGAGAATAACTGATCACGAGCTGGAATTTGGCATTGCACTCCTTCTTTCCTTCCTTCATTCGAACACAACGTACTCAACTCAAAACAGCTTCCTAGAGACAAGCATGAAAGGAGTCCCAACAATAAAGCTTCAAATAAATTCTTTGAAGCTGTCAAAAAATATCAAAGTCGATTTTCAATGACAATTGATCAACTCATTTGTTTCAACTCATCTCTTTGATTATGAGTTTGATTTGGGTTAGCATCATTACTCCTTCCAATTGAGAAATTCATCTCAGTTTCTTAACCAAAATTCACAGTATAAGTTCTACCTTGGCCACCTCATCTTCCTCGCCCTCTATGAACCATCACATAGGATATCCAGCACTTGGAAACACACTGTCAAAGTTCATAGTGCTAATATCACAGCCAAAATGATCCCAAACCAGAGAACTTTTGAACATTGGAGACACAATGAAGAACTTGAACCAGAATTTCAAGTCAGTCACAGCGGCAACAAAATTGAACCAGATTCGAACTATCAAACCAGAACTCAAGCAGAAACTGGAGACTAGAGTCGAATCCTTCCAAAATTGAAGAACCAAATTCATGACTGATATTCTAGAGCTTCAGATTCGAGTTTGGATCTCTTGTGGCATTTCAGATTGAAGTTCGGATCTCTTCAACTCCACTTCAGGTTAGCTCTTTGATTCCAGATCTGTAGAACTGGAGTCAATCAAATGAAGATCCATAGAACTGGAGGCAATCAAGTATGAATCAGAGGAGCCGATTGAACAAGAATCAGAATCGATGGGGTCAAATCGCACCAAAGTCAAAACAACAGAAAAAGGAATTGAAGTACTCGACTTCCAGAAATGAACACAAGACTCAATTTCAGATTTGCAAGTTATTCACAATTTAAGCCTTCATGACAACCTTGAGAGAACAGCCAGTTTTTATGAACAATCCGGAAGAGTTCGTAACTCTAAAACTCAACTTTAGATTGTGCGGAAGGCTAGTTCGCACAAGATCAAACACCAAAATAAACTCTTCAACTTCCAGAGTTTGTAATCAAACCAAGAACAACAGCAGGTTGGACTGATTCACTCCAGGTCGCGAGTTGATTGCAAAGGTTCGCAAAGTTGACTCAGAACTGCAAAGGTTTGCAAAGTTGACTCAAAACTGCAAAGAAGATTCACTAGTCGTGAAGGAAGCCCAAGACCAGATTCTAAAGAGTCTGGATCTGTATTTCAGAGTTGACGAAGGGTTGTGATGTCTGATTCAACAACGAACTAGAGTCGCAGGACCAAACACAGATCAAATCTCTATCTGCAAAGTCAGATCGCAAACTCAGTTCATGATTGGATTCACAAGCCGACAAGAACAGCTTTGCGAAGAACTCCAACCAGTTTGCAAAGAAAAATACTTCTATCGAAGGTGTCAATCAACTCACATGTGGGCTGCGAAACTGATTGGCAAAGAAGACCCATGATCTAGAACCAAGTTACAACTCTGAATCTTGGTCGAATCAGAGTGGAACATCAGTGAACCCATATGCTCAATTGATGCAGATGATGAAACCATGACCAGCCAAATCAGGCACAGAATCTCAAACTCTGATACCAAATAATGCAATCCAAATGCAAATCAAAGATCAAATTGAGAGAGAGAAGACAACTACGCCAATTAGGCGTAAAACCCCCAAGGGCTACAGAGAGAAACCAAGCTCTACTCCAATCACAATGTATATTATTTTAATCCAAAACTAAGTACAATGGTATTACATCACCTATTTATAGACTACCACTAAGCTACAACTAATAGGCCACCAAATCACACTTTAGGTATTTATTCTACTACATCAAGGATGTTTGGTAATATGCTAGAGGGGGCAGGGGTTGCCAGAGGGGACGGGTAGGGAGGTGGAGTGGCTGGAAAAAGTTTCCAGACAGGGAGGGAGGAGTGGCCAGAAAGGTTTGCCAAAATGGGAGGGAAATTGCCAGAGGGGGGAAGAGGTGAGGGAATGAAAACTTGTTTGAAAAATAAGTGAACACATGTCCCCATTTTAAAAAATGTTTATTTTTATTTTTTTGACTGCGAAAAGAATTACCAAACGTGTTTTGGTTTCTAGTTTTCAATTAAAAAATAAAAATAAAAATAGAAACTAAAAAAACGTTACCAAACTAGCGGGCCCTAAATATGTTGATGTTGCTTTCATATATTAATGGAAAGAGATAAAAGAGAGCATGGGAGTAGAGTGAGAACATGGATGGTTAGAGAGGGAGACACAAGAAAGGAGATAAAAACAAAGAAGATAAGAGGGAGATATAGATGTTAAAAGAATTGAGAGAGAGAGAGAGAGAGAGAGAGAGAAGCTCTTTTAAATATTCAACTTAAATTCATCTTTCCAAAACTAATTTCGTTTTATACCAATAAGGCCAATTTATAGGCTTCATGATCCCGATAAAACACATAGGTATCCTCTAATATTAATATTCTGTCACCAAAAGCCTCTAAAAAGTCTTCATAGAACAAAATTATGGCTGTATTAAATCAAAGACTCCTAACAACACTAATCACTTATTGTAGAATGCACATCAAATTGACTGCATCAACTTGACTTCGCAGAATGACTTCCAATGGACTTGATATAATGATGTAAAAGCTTATTTTCTATGCTAGTTTACACATCTGGTATTGAATTTTAAACATGTGAAACTTTGTTTATTATATCTGTTTCTAATTATACAAGGGAAAGATAGAAAGTTCTGGTTTAAATTGTTCAGAAAATTGATTAGATCTTCTCCTTTCTACCCTGCACTATCTGCATTTAACTGAGTTATTTGGAAGATATATATAGATATATATTAATAATCAGCAAGATTACATTCTAGTTTGTGGTTGTAGATTAAAGAATTGGATCATGATCAAAACATTCCTACCGTTGAAGATGCATTGAAGGTAAGTTCTTGATTCACTTTGATCATTTCCATTCACTTGAATCAAATGACATGGTACCATTCGCTATGTACATTGTGTTTAATGATTTTCTCTGACTCCGGTTTCACTGTATCTGCTTCAGTTGATATCCAGTTCTGTTAGACAGATAATTCTTGACGCAAAAGTTGGGCCACCATCATATGAAAAGGGTCTTGCCAAGGATATTCTTTCTGTGGTAAGTTTTTAACCTTTGGCATTCATAATATGCGCACAGGGCCTACCCTTGGACTTTAACGCATGCTCTTACACTTTTCATCCTAAGCTTTCATGATGTGAATAGCATGTGCAAGGCATGTGAGTGTGTGTTAGTGGTGATGTCCATGTCTATAAATGGGTGATGTGGTGTCAAGAAACTGACTTTTGAATCATTTGTAAAAGAATATTTTCTGAGATTGCTCAGAGCTTCTCTTTATAGAGCTCTCTAGAGTTACTCTCTCTTTGGACTTTGATCCCATCATTTTATCATTGCATTGACCAATTGGGCCTACTTTTTTCCATCTATCTAGCTTTACTTATACACTTAAAAAACACAAATGGTATAGTTTATCTTTAGCGTCTATAAGATAATTTTCCAATCTTATATTTAACTTATACCACAAGTGGTCGTGACCAGGCGTGATGGCAAGTTCTATTTGCCCCAATGCTATTGGCCAAGTTTGAGTTGCAAAAACCTCTCCACAAAAAGTAAGCGTAAGATTGGCTGCCTATTATCTCTCCCAGTCCCTACTGTGCATTGGGTACAATCTTTATATTTAAGGGGGAACTACATGTAGTTGGGAGTTGGAAAAAAAATTACACACACATGGAGGTGCAAGTGTGTATGTGGTGGGACGCAAATGAAAGGTTGTGGGGCGCTGCCATGTGTTGATAATTTTTTTCCCCAACTCCCACGTGCATGTAGTTCACCCTATATTTAACGTATACCGCCATAAATATTGATTAGTTTAAAAAATGCAAGAAAGCTTACAATTTGGAAATGTGTTTCCTAGAACTATATCAGCCATGAAAATAGTTGCAATTCTAATTACAATTTTTGTAGGAAAGAAGAAATATTACAAGTCCAAGAAAATTTAGTAGTGTATCTTAATTGATTTTTTGCTTGAGACGTTTTTTGTTTTATTTTATTATTATCAATTAGATTCTTTTGAGTAATTGGCCCAATTATGCCTTTCCCTTAGAGAACTCCCATTTTGTTGCTTTTCACAAAGCTATTCTCCATTTGATGTGTTACTTCCATGTTCCAAAGCACATTGGATTAATGTTGTGACACAGTCTTGGATAGAACTCAACCTCAAAACCCAACTTTTGAAGTGAGGTTGCCTTTACATTTATACATTACACATCCCTTTGTACCCAGGTGATGTGGGTCTTCGATTCCTACCCTTCCGCATGTCTAGCAGGCAAGGCTCAAGATGTGACCTTACCTATCCTTTTGGCACGTCCAACTCTAATATTGGTAGAATTCAACTCCAAAAGCAAGCTTGCGAAATGGGGGAGACCTCACACTTTTACATTTCATCCTTTGTACCTAGGGGATGTGGGATTTTGTTTCTCAAGTGTATCTTGTTACATAACTCGCTATGAAGTGTTGACTTGGCTAGTGACTTTGCTATTTGCAAAAAATCGCTATTTGCATCTAGGTGTTTTGTTATTTACATGAGTCATTGTGACAAGAAGTGCTTTATCCGTTTCCACACAACTAGTGGAACAAAAGTTATAAAGAAGTAAAAAAAATTTCTCTCGACATATTTGTTGTGTAATTGTGTAAGCATAAAATTACTAATGCCATAGTAGAGGTGTGAAATTAATGCACTAATTGAAAATAAGGTAATGGTGGTGGAATGCAGTGATTATACTCATGTCTTCTGATGGTTGTAACTTGCTTTTCTTTCTTTTTTTAAATCATTTTTTTTTTTTTTTGCTTTTCTATGATAATGATATGTGGGTTGTTTGTAAATTCAAGTGGTTTTGCATCGTTGTCTGGTGAATTCTAGATAGAAAGATTCAGAAACAACCATCTTTTATCCTTAAATAACCTTAAGAGCTACTTCTTGCTATGGAAGCCTTAGGAAACTACTAGTTCCGTAGTTCTCTATGTGGGTCATGTCAACAGAAAAGTGCCATGCAAGATGTCGTCTAGGCTTGTGAGAGATTAGGCAAGGGTTGCATTAGATTAAAAACTATAATTTGAAAAAATCCATACAATGTGTAATCGATTTGAAGGGGCATTGTTTTGGCTTGAAATCTTTCTTGAAATCTTTCTTAGGCATACCTAGGGAATAAAACAGGATAAATTTATGCGAGTAAATTTAATTGTTGTGACCAATTTATTGTTTTACATTGCATGATCAAATGCTTTCAAGGGTTTTGATGATCCCTATTTTGTCTTTTGTTCCCTTCAGGCTCTTAAGACTTAGTATAAATACCATCACTTTTCCAGTAACAAACATTTTATGGAGCTTTGATCCCTTAGCAGTATAGATATCTCGTGAAAATGAATCATCATCATTATGGTTATTGTTGTTTTATGTTTGTTATATTTGTTCTATATGTTGAGTTGCATTATTGGAAATATTGTACATGTAACGAGAATTGGGAACATCTTATGTCTTTTACTTATATGGATAAGTCGACCAGGTGGTCAAAGGTTCACAAAGAGTCGCAAAACACATCAGAGGCACCAGGGACAAAAGGCATGGCTGGGAGAGAGATAGACTAGTCCAACCAAGATAGAGAGAGGCAGTGTAACGATCAGAACTTTAAATCTATTTTATTATTCACGTGTTCTGCCATGTCTGCATTTGGTTGCGATTTAAAATTGTTGTCAATTTAGAGCTTGACTATTTTGAATGCCGTGGAGTTAAATTTTGAACTAGGACGTTTCTTGTTTAAGATTGATCAAAAATCCAAAATTTTGGAAACTGCAATATGATCTCTTTACCCTATTTTGACCATATCTCCTCCTATAGTTGAAATTTTGATGTGAGACGGCCTCCATTAAAAACTAGACTTCTAAAGCTTTAATTTAGACACGAAATTTATCAAATTCAGACATCGGTAGATGGAGATATGCTCATTTGAAGTTGAAATGGTGAAGTCTTTTTGGGATTGTGAGCCCAACTAGATGGAAATTGTGCTTGGGCGCAAGTCGACAAGAAATTTGCTTGGAACATTGGACAAGTGTGCTTGTCCAGAGGATAGGGATTTAAAATTTTTTTGAGCTACATGGCTCATTTTGGGCCACATTATTTTACTTTTGACCTATAAACACGAAACTACATCAGATTTACCCTCATGACTAATCCACACATGCTCTATATATTTGTCTCCTCTCTCTCCTCTCTTGATATTTCCTCCATTGGGCCAAGCTCGGATCTTCAAGGAGTGAGGGTTGATCTTGTTAGATAGCTTAATATACATTGTTGGGCTCATTTCCTAATAGCTTAGGCTTTTGGAAAAATTGGTGATTTAATATGGTATCAGAGCTTTGGTTGAAAGAGGTCTTGGGTTCAAGTCTCTCTATTGACATTTGATATTCGGTCCCCATTTGATTTCTTCTTTGTTTGGTTGTCTGCTTCTCCTTCTGTTTGGTTCTCTATTTGTCTCTCCACATGCAAGACGGGGTTGCACGTGAGAGAGGGTGTTAGATAGCTTGATAGACATTGTTGGGCTCATTTCCTAATAGGTTAGGCTTTTGGAAAAAATGGTGATTTAACAGATCTATGGGCCAAGACTTAGAGTTGGAGAGCTCAGCAAGGGCTTCAACCTCATTGTTTTGGGTCATCATTTGGTTGAGTCTCATTCTCTAGGGTTTCAGTCTTGTTTGAGGTAGGGAATTTTTATTCTTCCTTTGTACATGTTAATATGTTTTGCTTAGTTTCTTTGCATTTCTTTCCATGTTACAATGCCATAATGGTTTGGAGGGATGATTTCTTGGTTGACATTGATAATAGCATGTTGTAGTTATGTATTGTTACGATTTATGACATATGTGAGCATATGGTAGAGTTAATTGAAGACTTGGGTAAATTTAAGGGAAAAGTCCAAAAATGTTAAGACCCTAGAAATTGTGAAATTGAGGGTTTGGAATAGTTGATTGGAAATCTTGAAATTGAAACTTGGGTAATGAAAGTGAACATGTTAAGAGTGCTAGAAATGCATTTAATTGAGGATCTTGAGGGTTGGATGTGATACCCTGATTGCGTGGCACATGGGAGTTGGGTGGATTGTATGAAATGGGCTTATTTCTCATAACTTTGAACTTGTGAGTGTGATACACATTCGAGAAATGTAGTTGAAATTAAGAACTTTAAAACGAAAGGTATTGCCTTGAAATAATAAGAAAGGGTCTACCATTTAGAAGGACTCATGAATTAAAATTGATAAGTTGGATGATGGGTATATTCGCACTCCCTGAGGGAGGAATTTTGTCATGTTAGGCCCACAGTGCAAGTTGTGAATATGTATTGTTGAAATTGGGTATCAAATGAGATTAATTATGACTGGATTACAGGTCCCCCTGATAGTGACCAATCGGTAAATTCGGAATGGAATGTATCTGATGGGATTACAAGTTCCTTTGGTTAGCAACTGGTAAAGTTAGAATCGAACTTGTCGTTGGCAAAATTATGGGTCCCTCTGGTAGAAACCAGTAAAGCTTGAATTTTACTCGACTTATGCTAAGGCAAGGTGTGAGGAAGGTACGAAAACCCAAGAAATTGGTAGACTCGTTCTAAAGTTCTCAAGGATTTCTACTATAGATTCCTAATCTAATACGTCTCTCTCAATTCAACTATTAGTTCTTTTTAGCTATTTGACTCATCACAAATTCACTTATAGACTATTCTATGTGTTTTTGCCGCTCTAATTGTGAAGGTGTTTTTGCTTCTTTGATCTACCCTTTTACTCATTCATTTTGTAAGTTTTTTTTTTTGTCTTATTGTTAATATCATGGTTATCAAAATTCCGATCCGGATTGCAGGATCTTAAGATCCTACGATTCTAGTTGGGGTAAACGATCTGAATTGTACTAGGATTTTAAATTTAATAGGATCTTAAAGTGACTACGATCCTAATCATAAAATTGTGTACAATCGCACTACGATTCGAATTCTATTACGATCCCGTTCCTACTAAAAAAAAATTCTTATTATTTATTTCTTATATATGTATGTATATGTGTATATTTATATAAGAAATTTGACTATAAACTCTTTCTCCAAACACCTCCTCTAATTTATGTTGAAATAAAAGGTGCATTATGCAAAATTTATCATTTTTCTTTAATGATTTTAAAATTATTTAAGATACATTATCATTATGGATAATTTTTCATTTTATTTTATATTGAAAGTAGAATATTATAATTCTCGATCTGATTTTACATTCCGATCCACAAGCTCCTTCCAACGCTCGTACAATTCGATCCCGATTTTAACAAAAATATTGAACTTTTCCAAAGACTTCCTTATTAGAGTGGTAAAATTTACATTTCTTTTATTGCAGAACTTTTACAAAAAATAAAAACTCAAGTGCTAATCGACTGGGTAGTTTTATACTATCTTATTTGTGATGCAAAAATTCTTTTGAAGCTGTGGCAATATATATATTTATTGTATTTGATTTGTTAATAATTGTCTTGATACTTTTAGTTCGGTCCCCCTAACTTCAAAATCCTAGCTCTGTTGTATAAGTATGTGAGTGTTGATCGTTGCTTTATGTGATTTGTCTTGAGTTGGTTTGCTTGGTGTGAATGGTTGTGTAAAAAATGCAATGTATAAAAAGAAATAGAGAAATGTATTATTGATTGATGTATTGTGTTGTTGTGTCTTACAAATGGTGAGTGGCTCATTATATAGGAGAGGGTGAGTGTAGTAGGTCATCGTCTAAGCATTAAAGTAATGTTAAGCATATAAGTGTGAGGGCATTCTCACCTCAATAGCAAGCTTTTGCGGCTGAGTTTTACCCAAGATTGTGTAACATGGTATCAGAGCCGGAGTACTCAAGGATGGGTAGGGGTACGTATCCTTGGCTTGCACGCCGCAGGTGCTATCGAGTGAGCATGCTGGGCGTGAGGGAGGGTTAGAAGCAAAGTCCCACATCACCTAATTACTAAAGTAATGTTAAGCATATAAGCGTGAGGGCAACCTCACCTCAATAGCTAACTTTTGGGGTTGAGTTCCACCCAAGACTGTATAACAAGCGGGAGTTGGTGTAATTTTGATGATAACTGGAGAAAGGGATGAACTTGTATAGTTAACCATAAATTGAATTGGGAACCAAGTAAAGAACTTGTCAGAAGTGGATGGTTGTCCATAACATTTTGAAGATATATTGATAGTTGATTCAAATGGATATAGAATGGAACATTATATGTTTATTCTAATTGTGAAGCGAAGTCCCACATCGCCTGAGCACTAAAGTAATATTAAGTATATAAGCGTGAGGGCACCATCACTTTAAGAGCTAGCTTTTGGGGTTGAGTTCTACCCCCAACACTAATGTTTCATTCATGTAGTCATACCCTTACATGTGCAGTTGTCACCATAATGGCATGTAGGATTGTAGAAGAATTTTCTTACTGTGCATGTTGAGCTCACCCTTTAATTTTTCAATAGCCAAGCCCAAAAGGGCAATCTTGATGCCTTTTGTGGCAAAGCTTATGTAACCAATGAGGCAACTAGCTATTTTGAGAGCTTAATTGTTGTGTCCTAAAAATTGTAGAAGTTGAAGAGCAAAAATATGAAAAATGTAGCGTAGGGTTGGAGAAGAGAGAAGAAATATGGGGAAGAAGTGAATATTATACGTATGTTTTTAGGCTTACCCCAAAAAAAATAAACCTAAACCATCAGCAAATATTTATATGAGATACAATGACCATACTACCCTTACTCAACATAAACTAATGCATGGACACATTCTAACACAGAAGATTTAGGAGTAGGTTTGGCTTCAGCCATGAAACCGAAAGAAGGAACACACAAAACAACCAACAAGCAGTAGCAGAAATACCAAAACAAAATTGGAACAGCAAGTAGCAAGGCTAAAGAGTGATGAAACACCCAGGAAAACAGACCCAAACACCAAGGTTGAACACAGGTTGAACACAGCAGCAAAACAGAAGGAGAACAGGGCAGTTTTGGCTCAAAAAATGGAAAATCTGACACATCAGCAACAAAAACACAAAACAAACTCAGGGAATCTCCTCCTAGGGCATTTTTGGCTCCCAAGGAGTGATTTCCAACAGTCAAACAACTCTGGGTAAGAAGATTGAGCACAGTTCGAAGGAGGATCAAAAAAGATTCAAAAATAAGAAACTCACAGCAGATGGTCCCAAAACAATCCACAAAACTCACTATGAACATCAGGAGAAAGAGGTGAGCATGAAGGGCCAACCTCGTCCATAAGGACTCTGATTCACGCTGATGTCATCGTATGGAAGATGACGTCGGCACGCTGTTTTCACCTCCGAAAAATCTCGAGAGTCGGATGAGCTCCTGGCAAGGTTAAATTGATGCCTTGATACCAAGTTGAAGTGCAAAAATATGAAAAATGTTGAGTAGGGTTGGAGAGAAGGGGAGGAGAAATAAGGAGAAGTGAATATTATTGAACGTATGTTTTTGGGCTTATGAAATAAACCTAAGCCATCAGCAAATATATATATGAGATACAATGATCATACTACCCTTACTCAACATAAAAACTAACACATATACGCATATTCCAACAATAAACACTACATTTACTTTGTACTTTTGTTTTAAAGTGTGATGTTATGTGTTGGAAAGTAGATGGGCGTGGATGTGGGATGGTTCTAACTTTTGTGGGGTTTCTGCCCTATACACTATAGGATTTGGAGTTGTTATATGTGGTTTCAGAACTTTTAGTCCATTTAACTTCTTCTTGTATATTTTTTTGTCAAGGCTTGCTATATAAGCCTTAGATGATGTAAATTTATGAACAGTCTATTACATTATTATGTGTGAATTTAGGCTGTAGGTATGTATGTATCTACAGGATGGGTGTGAGGTCACTTAACATTGTAATTTGGGAAACAAAGAAAATGATTCATTTTTCATAAAAAGGAGATTTTATTGAAAGAAATGTAATTTGATAAATTGTTTTTCCTGGAAAAAGACCACATGTGAACCTTTTGTCATTAATTCATAAAGATTCTCACTTGTTTAAATAGAACTAGTTCAAATAGGGTTATAGTTTACATATCCGGGTCATCAGACCTAGGGCGTGACAGGTAGTGGAGAACTCAAGGAGAAGAGCTCATTCTGAAATGATGCATTCTAAGTTTTAACTGTCTTGTAATGGAAGTATTACCTTCTTTTTATAAGAGGTGAGCATGATTGTAACTAATTGTTTGGAACGATGTATTTTTACGAAGATTTTTAGGATTACATGTGGGGTATAACGTCTTGGAGAATCTTCCATGTCTAGTTTCCGAGCCACAATACCCCAGAGTCCTGCGATGTATGCCGAATATTTCGGTGTTACCTAGGTCTTACCTCTTGAGCTAGGCTTGTGAGTTGTGCAATATGATAACTGCGGTGATGGAGCAGTATAACTACCATAACTAAGTGATGAGATGTGTGCTATGACAACTTCGGTGATGAGACTAGCAGTAAGACTACCACAATTTTGAAAGGCTAGATTCTCGACTCTTGTGGGTTGTCAAGTTGGCAGGCTTCGTAAGGGTGAAGTCTTAGGACTTAAGTATACACAAGATGTTGTGAGTCCTTTAATCTCATTCAGTTAATACCAAAGATGTGGATTGTACATTGTTCCTTGGCCTGTAAAGCCTAACACGTGTAGGTAGGTCTTTATATCAATGTGCAAGGAACATATTGTTGCCTACGTGCCTACGTCGCTTGGCGGTATTGGAGATATCTACAACTTACCCCTCTTCTCCATGTGTTTTTGACTGAGTAATTCTCAGAGATTAACCTATAAAGTTTTACATGTTTTGGAGTAACCTTTCACATAATAATGATTTAAACTATTTTAAGTTAAATGCATCCAATCTTTGTGCGTAATTGTAAGTGGAGTTTTAAGTTGCTAATGGTAGAAGAAGGTTATATCCTTGAAGTGTTTTTCTTAATTTTCTATGCATTTGGGATTGAGAACTTGTAAATATAACGTGTATGGTAAAATTGCATGCATTCATACAATCAAAATTGCCAGGTTGGGCTTTTTATTGCCTTTTGTAGTTAATGCGTTTGGAAAGTTGCTAAAAAAGTTGCTTTTTGTGAGTGAAAAAGCTGATGTGACATTTCCTTTTTAGCTGGTGACCAAAAGGCTTGGTGGCGTTTTGGCTTCTTTTTTTTTCATTATTTTTTATTATTATTTATTTATAGCAAAAGCTCGCTTTTTTAGTATGTTGCCAAACGCCCACTTGATGGTGCAATTGATTTTCATTGCATGCTTTCATTGTTGATGCAGATTAGGCAGAATGTAGGCAGGGAACAAGAATAAGATACATTCACCATCATGAAATCTATGCACTTTGAATATCTAGAATCTTATTTCCAGAACTTCATTGGCCTGATAGTTGGTTTGGTATCCATTAATGTTGCTAATCAACTCATGGTGTTCGTTTCCATGGTTGGTATCTGAAATTAAAAATAAAGAAACATGGCAGCATTGAAACATAAGGGATGTGCTCACCCATGTCCCGTAGCTTGCCCTGTCGACTGTAAACGTTGCTCGCTTAATGTGAATGAAGCCAAATGTAGTAAATACCTTGTCTACCTCACCTAACACCCTAGCAGTACTAACACTTTAATGCCCCTTAAGATAATGGCAGTAAACTATTGGAACTATGAGAACTTGGTAATTGATTCTTCACAGGACCAAGGGAAGGGCAAACTTCTCTGGTTCCGTAAAGCACAGTAGCTCCACGCCCCAATTAGTTTGAAACTATGCACACCCAAATCCTGTTGCACTTCATGTTTGACTATATGTTTTGCAAGTTGAAATGCTGTTTATATCTGCTGACCCTGCTTCTAAGTATGTAACTATGAGGCTTTCTGTTGAAATTTTATAGGTTGAGAGAACACAATGTAAAAATTGCCTTGTTTGGACTAAAAGCGACAATTTAGCAAGGGACGTAATGAAACTGTCTCCGGATGTTATGGTAAGTAGCAGTTCATTGTTCTCTTGCTTCTCTCTCTCTCTCTCTCTCTCTAAACAAGCAACTGCATTGGAGATATGCAGTTTGGTACTTCATTGCTCAAATCCTTCATTATGCAGTGACCTTGTTCTTTATTCTTATTCTAGATAATGGATTGTAAGGTTGCTCTATGAACAACAAAATTATGTTTGAGAGCAGAATATATGAGCAATAAAATTATGTTTGAGAGCAGAATATTTTACCCTTAAGTGCTTTTGTGCATTGAGATTTTTTTCTCTCTCCCTCCTATGGTGATTCTATGAAGCCCTAGCCCCACAAGTGCAGTTGATTAGGTAAGGTCTTAATACATTTTTCTTTATATCATTTATCAATCTGAACTATTAATAATGCTACACTTGCTGTTAAAACCTATCACCTACTTCACCCACTTAAACCTACTCCACTAAACCTAACCCACTACACCACTACCACCTCCACTTCACCTACTCCTTACCTACTACACACTCACCCTCTTCTATATATAGGAATCATGAATCATTGTAATAAATATAACATTATATCAATACAAGAATCAATAATACAATCATTTTCCTTTATACATTAAATTTCTACATGGTATCAGAGCAGGTTTAGAACCTAATATTTTCGCTTCCCCGGCGGGCGGCAACCTCACCTTAGCCGTCTGCCGGACCTCAACCTATTCCACTTATTTTCTACACATACCTGCCATCACAACCTTTGTTGATGGTTATGTGAAATCAATCCTCATCAACACAGCGATATCTCTCTCCAAAAGATCAACCCAGCTTTCTTCTTCTGGAAGGAAAGCTCTGTTTGTACAATACTTAGAGAATTCCCGCTGCTGCAACTCCGATCGCAACCACCATCTTATCCCAGCTCCACCTCCTCCAGCCGCTGTGACTCAAAGCTGCTGGATCTCTCTCTCTTTCTCTCTCTCTCTCTAATGGCGAAATACGGTGAAGGAGACAAGAGGTGGATCGTGGAAGACAGACTCGACGGAGCAAACGTTCACAACTGGCACTGGGCCGAGACCGATTGCCTCGAATGGTCTCGAACCCTCCTCACCAAGCTCCTCTCCAACCACACCCTCCTCGACGGCGAATCTAACCTCTTCATCAAGACCAAGAACCTCGACAAGCTCGACGGCGAGGCCCATGTCAACGTTCGCAAGGGCAAGATCATCCCCGGCTACGAGCTCAACCTCTCTCTCTCCTGGGAAGGCCAAGCCAAGGACTCCGATGGCCAGACCCTTCTTTGCGCGGATGGAATTGTTCTCTCGGCATCTCTCTCTCACTCAGAACCTCCATTGACAAACCCAACATCCTCTTCTCTCTCGGGGGGACACCCAACTTTTTTTTTTTATTTTATCACAAAAACTCTCTCTCTCTCGTTCTTTTTTTTTTCCACTAGCCCCACTTTAATATTTCCCTTACTTTAAAATCAAACTTTATTTTTTATTATAAAAGCCATTAGATAATTCATATGTACATCTGCAACTTCTGGATACACACCAAAAAAAAAAAAAAAAAAAAAACAAACAAAAAAAAAAAAAAAAATCAACCCCCCAAACTTTATTTTTTTTATTTTAGCTTCTCATAAAGGAAGTGCAACAGGTAAAAAAAAAAAAGCTGAATATCATTACGATGTATTTTTTTTTGAAGTTGCACACACATCGCGTGTGCCTGACTACTAGTTTAAATAAATCATAATAAAAAAAAGTTAATTTGATGTCTAGATTGGATTCACGGTTGTTTATATAGCTCGTGTAGGAAGAGGGTTAGGTTAAAATAGTCCACTAAATATCACATATAACTCATAATCATTTTATTTTTTTCTCATAACCATTAAATCAACTATAAAAAAAAGCCAATCAATTTCTTAAACACAAATATTTCAAGTTAGGTTAAAATTCCCCCAAAAAAATTAAATAGTCAACTTTCCAAAGCTAAGTGACACGTGTTAGGCGAGTTGAGATCCTTTCCTTAAACTCTCTCCTTGTCTCCCTACTTGCAACGGTGAAAATGCATTTTGCGTTGATCCAACAGTCCAGATTTAGGTAGGAAAAGCAAATTTGAATTTGTTTTATTATTTTATTATTTTTAAATAGTTAAATCTAAACCATTAGATCAACTCAAAATATATTTTTACTATTACAAATAAGAAGATAAAATAAAAATACAATGAGAGAATCTCAACTCGTGTCAGGCGTGTTAGGTTGTCAAATACCATGTAGAAAAAAAACTGCCAATTAAAAGGTGAAAGAAAATTTTCATTACTCCATATGGCAACGTGTCCAACACGATTTTCACAATCTATTGGAGTAGGCCTTGTATCTTTTAAAGTGCATCTTTGTATCCTCTTATCTCTGCTCGCGCATCCTTATACATGCGTTGGAGCAGAGCCAGCTGGGCGTTTAAATGCTGCACCTCATTTGTCCTACTCTGCAGCCGGTTCGACAAATTTGTGACCGCCGTCATGGTTTCCACGCATGACTTCAGAATATACTGACTAGCCTCAATATCAGTTTGCACCGCCATTTTTTGCTCCACCGACCGCATCGGAAAGTTCAATGGAGCAAAACCAGAGGTGTTTGGTTGAGGTTCACTGGCCACCGCACCAGTTATTTCTCTTGTGGACTCGTTCAGTTCTGGAAAGAGCGTGAGCAGACCACGGGAAGAGGAGGCCATGTTCTGGGTAGCTGGACGGGAAGAAGAGGCCATGTTGCTGAGTGTTTCAGAGACGGGTTGGTTACAGAGTATTACAGAGTTTCTCTCTCAGCAAAGGAAGAGTTTTTTCAGAGGATTTTCAGAAGTTTTTTTGTCTGCCTCAGCCTCAGCATCAACCTTGGTTAAATAGCTAAGGCAGCCACGCGCATCATGCGCCGCTCGGCGCTCGACGCCAACCTGGACATACCTTTTTATGGCACGCCTTTTGATGGCACGCCTTTTGATGAATTGGGCACGCCTTTTGATGGCACACCTTTTGATAGATTGGGCACACCTTTTGAGGGTGCGACTTTTTTATGGGTCCGACAAGACTCTGTAAACTGTCCCGACATTGATTCCGGTTAGTTTCTACACGGGTCCGACAAGACTCTGTAAACTGTCCCGACATTGATTCCGGTTAGCTCCTTTATGGGTCCGACAAGACTTTGTAAACTGTCACAACAACTGTCACAACATTGTCTGCTACAACGGTCCGACATGACCCCATAACCTGTCTTTTACATCGGTCTGACACCGCCATCCAGTGTCCTCTACACCGTTATGACACCACCATACAGTGTCCTCTACACCGTTATGACACCCCCATACAGTGTCCTCTACAACGTTATGACACCCCCATACAGGGTCCTCTACAACGTTATGACACCACCATCTATCCTCTTTTATTTTTATGTATTTTCTTGTTTTGTTACTCTCTCCAAACTCAAGTTGGTTAGTTCCTATCCCCTTTGAGTTTGTGTTAAAATCCACCTACTCTCCACCTACTTCACCCACTTAAACCTACTCCACTAAACCTAACCCACTACACCACTACCACCTCCATTTCACCTACTCCTTACCTACTACACACTCACCCTCTTCTATATATAGGAATCATGAATCATTGTAATAAATATAACATTATATCAATACAAGAATCAATAATACAATCATTTTCCTTTATACATTAAATTTCTACACTTGCCACATTTTTATACCATATCGTCGATGGCTAATCATTGAAGTTTTCTTTGCTTTTGAGTTGGCTAAGGGATGATTTTAGGGTTGAAAACAGTAGTTTTAAAATCTTGATGCAGAGTATTGGATGCCGTAAAAATCACATGAAAGAAATAAGGAGGATAGAAATGCTTTACCCTCGCATGGGTTAGGCAAATTTACACAAGTACAATCTCAATTTGCATAAACTCGATTCCATTGATTAGAAGAATTCCATAGGTTTATGTTAAAACCTACCATCACCTACTCCACCTACCACCACCTACTACCACCTACTCCACTACATCTCCTATATAAGGAGCCCCTCACCATTTGTAATATACAACATAAACACATCAATCAATAATACAATTCTCTTTATACATTGAATTTTAACAGTTTATATAGGTTTGTGTCTAAACACACTCCAAGTCTCCAACTTTGACTATGACTTTAAAATAGGAAACTTCGACCCTTTTAAGTGCTAAGACATTTTGCTTCACCGGCGGGCGGCAACCTCGCCTTGGCCGCCCGCCGGACCTCAACCTAGTCCGCTAGAATCTTCTTCACCACCTTCACAACGGAGCTCCGTGCCGGTGCCACCACCTTCCTCACCATGGCAGCAGCTTCAGCAATCATTCTGTTGTCGCGTCGCTTTCGATTTCAGATTTGTGTTGCCTTCATCCTCCACCATCAGATGGAGTAGATCCTGTTTTTCAACTAAGGTTTGACACCTAGTTGGCGTATGTGATTCTCTATCATTTGTGGCCACAGCCTATCTTAGATCTGTGACCACCTTTGATCGAAAAATGATGATTGACATCAGGAACAAACTGCATTCAATGTAAGCCGCAGCTCCCTTCAGCTTTTTCAGCTCCAATCAGCCGGCACATAATCAGTGGGAAAGGTGTTGCTGGTATAGGAGATAAGCATGCAAGTCTTGCCAACAGCTCCATCGCCAACGGTGACGCACTTGATGAACCTCGAAGCACTCATCTTTCTTCTCCAGCGAAGACAACAACGTGTTCAATCCAAGGTCATAGACCTGGTGTACGCAGTGTGAATGCTGTTGTGGATTGGCAGCAGCAGTCTGGAAATCTGTATGCTTCTGGTGAAATTTCATCAATTATGGTATGGGACCAGGATAAAGAGCAGCTTGTTAGTTCTATTCTGTCCTCGTCAGATTGCAGTGTCTCAGCATTGCTGATGGGAATATTCGGGTTTGGAAAGATTACACTTTAAGGGATAAGACATAGAGATACACATGCATGAGGGGAGGCTAGCTCTCTCTTGGCACATCTACTCTCTCTCTTCCTTTTAATTAAGTGTTTAAATACCCTACATACCACCTCCACCCACATGGGTTGGTTCCCATTTTTCATCATCAATATGTTCCCACTCTCTTCCACTTTCTTTTCTTTTCTTTTTTTTTATATATCACCCACGAGACTACTCACATGAACCACCCACTATCTCTTAAAATACTTTATCATTTTTCCCACCCACAACCTCATCATCCTATCTTCTATCTATATTTTAATATGTAAACATATACATATATATACACATTGACTTCAATTTCTTTTCTTTTTTCTTTTTTCCTTTCTTTTCTATCTATACATATATATTTTTATTATTATTATTATTAAACCAAAAAAAAAAAAAAAAAACCCATCTTTCTTTTTGCTTTCAACTTTATTCTTATTATTTCTTTCTTTATTTTTCTTTTACATTATTTTTACTCTTTTTTAAATTTCATTCATACCATATAGCTTTGCACACCAAACCATCTTTTATTCATATCGGGATCAACCCCGATCCACATTTTACACAAAAAAAAAAAAAAAAAAAAAAAACAAAAA